AATTCTATTACTTCATGCTTTAGATCATAAAACTCCTCTTTCATAATCAACAACCCACATTATGAGATCACAATTTGGAAAACATAGGGGTTTGCATGGGTTCAAAGGTGAAACATCATAAAAGCATTCTAAATCATCAATTCATGAATATTTAAACATAATTAAATCATTAAGATCAATAATCAAAAGAACCCATGGTGATTGAAGAAAACCCTAGCTAATTGGGGAATTCTACCATTTGAAATAGGGGAATTTGGGGACTTTATGAATGAAAGAGATTCATGGATGAAAACTACCATACCTCAAGTCCAATTGCTTATCTTCAATGGAGAATTTGGATCCTTAGTTTGAAACCCTAGGTGAAATCTTCTTCTTCAAGTTCTAGAGAGAGAATATTTGGGAGGAGATGGTTTTTCTTTTGGGAATTTGGAAGATTGATTGAAATGGGGTGAATTTTGGGGTAAAAATACTTATATATATAGGGGTTCTAAATATAGGCAAAACGACATAGTATAGGAACTAATTAGTTAGAAAAAGACCCAACTGCCCCTGAGTTAACTATCAGTTGTCACCGACCTACCAACCGACGAACCCAGTCGACGGACCGTGGATGGACCTACAGTCCGTCCTGGTGAACCGTGGTTGGTGGTCAGAGACTTTTTTCTTGACCTACGATTCCTGGACCACGAGTCGTGGACCCACCTACGGTTCGTAGGTCCAACCGTGATCCATGCCTGAACAATTCCTGAGGCACCCATCCATGGACCCATCTATAGTCCGTGGCCCACACCAGGGGCCGTGGTTGGCCCTCGTGGATGGCACCTGGGAGTTTTGAAATTTGTTAAGGTTTCCTCTTTCGGATACGGGGTGTTACACTTTTGGAATAATTATCATTTTTCCCCTCTCGATAGTTGTCCCAAGTCATGATTTTCAGTTTATGAAGTTGGTTTTAAAATTGGATTGGAAAGTTGAGACTTTTGGAAGTTTTAGAGTTTTGGACACCTCAAGTTGTTAAAAGTGATTTTTGACAACAATCGGAACTATGAGTCTCGAAAGGGTCTTTAGTCTGTTCCATCAGCTCCAGAATGCAGAATTTGGTCTAGAAGTATAGGTTTTTTCAATTATGGAGTCATTTTCGTGGATTTGAGCCCTTGAGTTGGAGGTTTAAGTATAATTAGGCCAAGAGTTGACTTTGGTCAACATTCGGAGTTTGAACGCTAGGATTGGAATTTTGATGACACCATTGGATTCAGGGGATGATTTTAGTCCTACGTGAGGTCTTGGTTGAGTTTTCAGACGTTCCGAGGGCAGTTTAGTGTTTTTGAGTAAAAGTCAGTTTATTGCAACTTAAACGGATATTGGGTCAAAGAGACTTCTTATCTGTGTTCCGACGTCCATTGAGCCTGGAACGTCGAGTTTGGTTGGGTAGCATATCTGGTTTGTGTGTGCGAAATTCCAAACGAATCCCGAAGGTTCATTAGGTGATTTTGTTGAGTCTTGGTGTTTGTTGATGTGTTGTATCTGATGCATGTTAAGTAATCTTTGCAATCGCGAGGCTCTTGGTCGCGGTCACATTGGTATGTGGTCTTGTGCTTCACGATCGCATGGAGGATGTTGCAATCGCAATAGCATCTTGAGCATCATGATCGTGTGGCCTTGTGTCGCAATCGCGATGGTCAATTAATGAGTTGACCAGCATTACAAACCGAAATTGCGAGTTATCGGGTCGCGATTGCGAAGGGTAAAAGTGACTTGGATAGATTCTTCTTTCCAAAATCAGGGATTCATCCTCATTTCACCATTTTTGAACTTTGGAAGCTCGATAAAGGCAATTCTAAAGGGGCTTTTCGAGATTCTTCAATTGGGTAACGATTTTTAACTCCCCATCTTTATTACCCTATGTTTACTTCAAGATTTTATTACCCCATCAGTAGAGGCTATTTAATTCCTAATTTTGAAGTCACACTTTTTGAGTTTTCTCAAGAATTTGGATTTTTAAGAAATTGGTGATTTGAGCTTGGTTTCCTATTCATTACAAGTATCTAGTCAGTCCACACAAATTTATTTATTTTTTCTTCCCTTTTGGTGGATCTTTTTATTTTTGAGTGAATTTTGTCCATGATTATACAGTCTGTGCACGTAGTCAGGGACGGAGCTTCGTTGAAAAATTACTCCATATAGATAGGGAAAATGATTTTTTTTGCATATCGTAAGTTGTTGAATCTGCTTGGCATAAAGACTTTTTTTTTGAATCCCCAGAATTGAAATCCTGGTTCCGCCACTACTGGTAGTTTACTAACCTTATGCCAATTTTTTTTCATTATTTAGATATTGGTTTTGACTCAGATACGAAAGAGAGGACTACATCTTCAGGGACAAAAATGCAGCCTTTACTGTCTGATTCTCCTTTCGGAGCCATTACTTGTAAGGCTGGTAACCGAATCTGTAGCAGTTTAACAGCATAAAATCCTTTGACGGGCACCAGATTTTGTGATCTCTGTTGCAGTGAGCCTGGTTTTTGCGGAGACTGCTGTTGTATACTTTGCCGTAAGCTTATCACTTTGGACTATGATGGGTACAGTTACATCCGATGTGAAGCTACAGTAGTTGATGGCCACATATGTGGACATGTTTCCCATCTAGAGTGTGCTCTACGAGCTTACATGGCTTCTGTTGTATACTTTGCAGAAAGCTTATCACTTCGGACTATGATGGGTACAGTTACATCCGATGTGAAGCTACAGTAGTTGATGGCCACATATGTGGACATGTTTCCCATCTAGAGTGTGCTCTACGAGCTTACATGGCTGGGACAGTCGGAGGAAGCATCAATTTGGATGCAGAGTATCTCTGTCGATATTGTGATACAAGGACGGATTTGGTTCCACATGCTTTGAAGCTTTTAAACATTTGCACATCTGTTGCTTCTTATGCTGACATCGAAAAGATTTTGAATGTTGGCATTTGTATTTTGCGTGGCTCACAAAAAAGTAGTGCAAAAGAGTTGTTGCATCGTATTGAATCAATCAATGCAAAGGTATAGCTAATTGATTAATGGTACTTTGTTTCCTATGATGCTATCTTTTTTCCAGTTTTTAGGTTTACAGTTACAAGAATGACCAATTTGATAATCATATCAGCTTATGAAAGGAGTCAGCATTCAAGATGCATTCAAAAAGGAAAGCTGTGTGGATAGCACTGGTAACTTCTCTGCCTTGTCATAGTCTTGTTTGTGTTGACCTATCAATTTGACTTGAATATCTGTATTTGAGCTAGATATTTATGTGCAAATGTGTTTATTTTGTTTTAAGTATTGCCTATTTCATGATACAAATATATACATCTGCGCATTGTAAGTTTTGTCTATTTCAGTGCTTCCTGTTGTCAACAAATACCAAAAACACTCTGTGCAAACTAAACTGCAATATGACCAGAAAATAAAATTGGAGAGCCTTGGAAAGAGTATGAAAGAGGAATTATTTGTTGCACAACTAGTGCATCAGTTAAATGCTATCCAACTGCTCCTTGGTCCTAACTAGATGAAGGAAATGAATAGCTTCCTTATTAAGAGTTTGGAACTTTGGTATAATCAGCATAAAGAGAAAGGAATGGATCACTCAAGGATCTCTTGTAGGGTGCTGTTTTGGTCAATTGCAGCAATAACATCTCCTGGCGTAAAGAGTTCTGCCTAGCCCCTACAGCAATAGAATTGAATGTCACATCCATGATCTGTCTCACCACATTAGTATGTGAAACCAAAGAGGATGGTGTGGGGTGAGGAGGTGAATCGAAATTATTTTCGAATGTTAGTCAAGTTATAATTGGTCGACTATTGATTTCTTCAAGTTGACTACCCTAGAGTTTAGACAATTAGATAAAACAACATATTATATAAGGCATAAAGAGATAAAAGACACAGTTGACACAGATTTTTATACTAGTTCAGATCACCGATGTGGTGCCTAATCCAGTCCCTTCGGGTTACAAGGTTTCCTTAGAGTTTGAGTGTTTATGGTTAGACAGATAGTCTGTTGTGGACTCCTTGACCTGAAATATTCCAATTTACTTGTTGGTCACATCCTCTAGTCTTATAGTTTTCTAATCTCTACGTTTCTTTTCTTTTCACTAGTAAACTATATTGAATACACTGATAAAAGAGTGTCTAGGGTTTTTGCTCAAGGGAAGTTGCACAACCTTTTTCTTATAAAACACAAAAGTAGTCGAAAGATAATCTTATTCATTCAGTACCCAAACTTTAAATACGACAGATAAGAACAACCTACAGCTAAACTTAAGGAAACCAACTACTACCTGAACTCCTAAACAATAGGGAGAGTCTTATAGTGATACTCTAAAATAGTATTAATTACGGTAACTAATAATTACAGTAACTAATGCTTAATACACCCGCTCAAGTTAGGCGTAGTGCAACAATGCCTAACTTGGAACAACACTGTTCAAAAGCTGGTTTTGGTAAGGGCTTGGTAAATCATAAATGTATCGGCAAGTTGATCACAAGCGTGAGTGTGTGTGTGACAAGAACCTGGTGTGCTTGAACTTGGTTCCTAACATAATAGAAGTCCACATCAATATGTTTCATACAGCTATGAAACACTAGATTATGACAGAGATAAGTGACGCCAACATTGTCACAAAAGATTGTGGGGTGTAATTTGGAATGGTGATACGCAATTCATTGAGCAAGTTGCGCACCCATATATGTTTGACAAGCGCATTTGCAACTGATTTGTACTCTGCTTCAGGATGAGCGAGCTACAGCTTGTTGGTTTATTGATGTTAGATTGTCTTGACAAAACTTGGCGACAGAAATCGTGTTTTTTATTGATGGAGGACAAAGAGTGTTAGAAAGCCTAAAAGCAGAATTAGATGCTTGTATAAGAGATGAACCAGTATGAGTAATAGGAATGGTTTTACAGTCACCCATGGATATGCCCTCATTGCCTGTATACTCTTCAAGATTGTGTGGATCAGTGGTGACATGATGAGTCGCACCAGAATCCAAGACCCAAGACCAGAAGCAAAGTTGGCCTTAGCTTCAAAATGGCTGTGCAATTCGGAACAACATACATCTGCAGTGTGACCTAATTTTTGGCACAATTGGCAGCAGACAGATGGTCTCGAATTCGACATCCAGTTTTGCTGACTGTTGTTGCTGGACTGTTGAGTTACAGGTGGTTTCCATTGTTGATTGTTGAAGCGACGATTGTTCCTATTAGACTGAGGTGGCATGTTCATCTTCTGTGTGACAGCAGCTGTGATTATGGAAGATGACTTCTCAAGATCCTCGTGCTTGAGAAAAAGCTCATAATATGTGAGCTTGTGAAACAACTCTTCAAAACTCAAGGAAGAATCCCTTGATCTTATGGAAGCCGAGATTTCACGGTACTCAGGGCCAGTCCGCTTAAAATCTCAACAATAAGTTCATCATCTGTTACTGGTGATCCAACAACTTTGAGCGGATCAGAGAGAGAGCGAACTTCTTGTAAGTATTCCGTAATGGATTTTAGAAGCTTTCTTAAGATTTTGCAATTGGTCTCGCAAGCTAAAAATGCGAGTGTAGCTCTTCTTTGCGTAGGCCATGTGAAGAAGTTCCTAGGCTTTCTGAGCGGATGGAGCGGTGGCGATAGTTGGCGCAATGGTAGGATCAACAGATGTCATCATGGCTTATTGAATCGGTTGGTCCTGAGAGAACCAGACTTGATACCAAAGATTAGGCAGTAGAATGTTATCGTGGATAAGATTCATTGGTGGTGCCGGTTTTGATCCGTCAAGATGTCCCATAAGTTGATGGCTATTGAGTAGCATCACAAGTTGGGCTTCCCAAGTTGAGAAATTGAGGTTACCTTGCAGTTTGATAGGTAACTGAGATGCGGGATTAAATTGTAACACATGAACGATAGAGGGAGCGACAGAAGCACTGCTGTTGGAAGCAGTAACATCACCAGAATTGACAACCGAAGGGATGGTTTCGCCAACCATAGATGGAAAAAAAAAAATCTGACTCGTGAGAGGTTATGATGGCTCAGATACCATATAAAATCAGATAAAGAAAGTAGTCAAAAGATAATCTTATTCATTCAGTACCCAAACTTTAAATACGACAGATTAAGAACAACCTACAGCTAAACTTGAGGAAACTAACTACTACCTGAACTCATAAACAATAAGGGGAGTCTTCTATTGATACTCTAAAACAATATTAGTTACTGTAACTAATAATTACAGCAACTAATGCTTAATACTTCTGTGATGATGATCTGCTTTTATATTGCTTGGCTGCTTCTTTACCGTTGCTTGGACAGAATGGAATTGATATCAATTCGCTGATCTTCAATTAATCTCTGATTTGGAATGTCACTGAGATTGATCAGAGAAGAAGAGAAGTTGCGCAATCTTCTTATCTGGTTTTCAGTGTTTGCTCTTAAGGTAACCCAAGGGATTTTCTCCTTCAATCAAGGTATTCAAATTTGTCCCAGTGTCCTGCTCTTTCTTGTGGTTAGCGTGTGCTCTTTTTCCTTGATTCAAATCTATCTTTAGACAAGTCATTCTTCCTTGATTATGCCTTATTTACCCAGATTTTGGATGTCTCATTTTTTTGACACAGATCATTAAGGATTAGTGTCATCATTAAAACGTATGTTAAAATACAAGTTAATGAAGCTAACGTTAGTTATTGGTTCTCTGCCTTTAGCAATACTGCTCAGATTTACTGGAGCCTATCTGTTAGGCTGATATATGCAGATAGATATTGTTGGTATTGTTCTTGTGATTCTTCTTGTTGGGCTTGATGTGCAACCATATTTTCTAATGATGATTGTCTATATGTTGTGTCTTTCGTATTTCTGGAATCCTGGTTCAGTGCTCAATTTGCTATTATTATCGAATCTTGTGGCAATTCATACCCTACATATTTCTAATGTCATGTAGGATTCTTTTAATCCTTCAAATTTTGGACAATGATTTTCATTAAGTTAATTTCTGGATTTTTCAGCTAACTTTGGTACCTCGCAAGATCAAAATCTCAGTCAGAAGCAAAAGACAATGAATGATTCCAATCAGCCTGAACTTTGATTGCAAAGTTATTCTTATTGATGAGAGGTAACAAGTACACAGTGGAATGTGCAAGCTAGTCCGAACGTCATTGTCATAAAAAATTATTTGGTATTATGATTTGGTACATTGCTACTCGTACATTTATACATTATCACCATGTGCTCAAACAGAAAGAGCCCAAGTTTGTTCATTATTCGGATGAGCTATATACTTGTTGTTTAAGTAAACATACATATGTATGTTACAATTGACAAGGACTTGCTGTTTTGCATATGTACTATTTCGACATATGGTGTTCAAAGTTAGTCTCGACAAAGTGTAACTTTATATGATATTTGAAGTTTTATATTTGACAAAGTGCAACTTTATACAATGTTTGAAGTTTTATATGGCTGAAGTTTAGGTATATCGTATACATGATTAATCGATACATCAAATATGAAAAAGTTAACTATTGGACGAGAACAAGTTGGTCAACGTCTCTCCAAACACCTCTAGATCCATTATCAAACTCTCCACGGCCATGGTCATCCTTGGGCACCGTCACTATAAGCTCTCCGTCCACAAATACCGCCGTGGCCAGCTTGGGCATAGCCGAAGCAGGCAACCTGTACCTCCATGTATCCACCTTCAATTGTTCATCCTCATCACCGTCTCCATTTCCCTTCCTCACAACGATCTTCGTTACCCCCGGATGAATCTCTACTGCCTGTGCCCTCACTTGTCCATTCCCAGCTCCTTCTAGTTCGATTCTTGCCACGAAACGGAAGAATCCTTCCTTCTCTTCCACCGCCACATCTGCATCAGAACAGAACGGCAATTCCAGAAAGTAGTTAAATACGTGAGGAAGTCTCCGGAGTTTCTTCATTGCGGAATTAGGAATGTGTTGTTGCTGTTCTGAAAAATTAGAATCAATTCCGCCAATGTTTGGTTTCAGGGAGAGAGGATGTACTCTCATACCTTGAATTGTTGGGGTTGAAACGATAAGAAGAAGAAGAAGACAAATGTTGAAAAGGTTCAAAATTCCAACAGGGCAATTTGGGATTCTATTAACCCCAGATGGGAAGATTGATAATTGCATTAGATTGTTTGTCTGTATTTTTTTAAGGGATTTTGGGTTATAAAGAGAGGTTCTTAGAAATGAAATAGCTGGGGAGGTAGATTTAAAATAGTGAACAGGATCGAGCTTGAGGCGGTGGAGATTTCTTCCGAAAGAAGAAAAACAAGAGAATTATTTTTAACCAGATTTGGTTTGATATAGAATGTAAAATAGTGTGATAATCAAAAACACATAAACAATATAAGTAAAATAGTATGATAGTCGAAAACACATAAACAATATAGGTTAAGAACTACAAGAGTACGGCTAATACTATAGGAGGCACTAACAAGCCTAAACTTTCGCAAAGGCAAGAAAATTCTCCACCCCTACTATTTCTCAACCCTAATATACGACCTTCACTCCTCCTTATGTAGAGTCATGTCTTCGATAATATAAAGATTTTCCATGTCATGTCTAATTACTTCTCCCAATGCACCTTCTCTGTACATGCTCAAACCATCTCAGTTTCTCTTCCTCGTCTTATCCGCCATAAAAGTCACTCCCACCTTTTCCTAGATAACCTCGTTCCTAATTTTATTGCTCTTGATTTGATTCATTGCATTAAATAATAAACATTATACTATATAACAACTTAAACTTATAATTGGCTCACAACTATATAAAATTTTGCTTACAATTATACCCTTGGACAAGATAAACTTTGCAGAAATTGAAAAGGAATTACCAAAACATTGGTAACAAGTACAAATGTTTATACCATAAATTTATTTCTTCTAACTAAAACATGCTGGGAATTCAGAACTCAAATTTGATTTCATCCAAATATTTCAAATGGAGATGAACAGTTAACTTCCCCTATGTTAACCCTCTATAACTAGCTTATGTTGAAATCTGTATATCATCCCTGAATAACTGAAATGCAAATGGAGCCATAATATATACAAGCAGCCTGGAGGTAATGCCAATTCTAGCTAGAGATTTGGTGCATGACTCATTCAGCTATGATGCAAGACTTCGTGTATCAAGGAGAGAGCAGCAACACAGAAAGACGCCCACATAGTTCTACTTTTCGCATTAATTCAGGTACATGCAAGGGGCATTTGTGAGGGCTACTTGGTCAATTGAAGAAAGCTCAAACATCCATGTTCTCCTTGTGACGCATCCTATGCCTGCGCTGAGACCTTTTCTGGTTATAGTTACGCCTTCTAGGCGGTGAGCTAAAATGTGTCAGGATGATGAATATCTTGGACACTTGCTGAAGACCTAAATATGCAATCAAAATGGGTCTTCAATTGCCTCCAGAACATCAGCTTCTGCACTCATCTACATTTATGAACAAAGACTCCAGTTAACAAATAACTTACAAAGTTGCATATTCAGCTATGGCAAAGGGTGTGTTAGGTATGGAAGAAAACATTTTCTGGAAAATGTTTTCTAATTTTTCCATGTTCCGCTGATCAAAATTTTTGGAAACAAGTTCCTTGAAAATGAGAAAAATGACGTCCATAGCAGAAGTAGGGAAAACAAGTTCTACTAGTGGCGTTCTTCATTGATCGTTTCTTTCTCACCTCCAAGTTCCAACACACCTCATTTCACCCTCACCACTCCACATCGCGTCCCTACCTCCACACCCCCACTTCCCATGGTATTTGTCTAGATTATATACAAATGCTTTAAGGATAATATTTTGTTTATTTACGTAAAGAACACAAGAAAATAAGAAATAAACCCACTTATATTTACATTTTACTTCCTACCGAACACATAAGAAAGAGTTGGTGAACAAATTGTAGCAAATCATTCATCAATTCACACTCATATTTTCCTCTGACGATTTTAATCACATACATACATCAATAATATTTATATCATTTTAGAACATTAATACTCTTTAATTAACCTACATGTTTTATTCATTAGAAAAAGACTAATTACCTACGAATAGTCACAACAATTTCTACCTTCATGTTTCTTCAGTCATAAATCACAACCATTCACTCCTTGTAAATTCTTGGGGATCTCTTTTCTGTGACAATTTGAGATCATTTAAAATTTTCATAAATGATTCATCCCCAATACATTGATATGTTTCGCCGAAGTTCTTAGCATTGGAATTTAGGTATTGATTTTCTATTAAAGAAGAAAAGAAGAGAGCAAAGAAATATGCAATTATCTATGAACTTTGCTTCACACATAAATCTTCTATATATAGTGTGCGGGAACTTTCATTTATTTTTCTTATTTTATTTTTTGAATAATTTCTTTTGTGTATCTGTTGAGTCATCGTAATAAACATTTTCACAGAAAAAATGTTTGGAGACACGTTGCAATACATGTGAATCATGCTGATACTTCTTCAACATTCTATCAAGTCAAAATATACATTCAGTACATAGTTAATGTTGGGGAAGAAAACAGAAGAAATTATCACAAAACACTTGAGCAAAAGAAGCTATAGGATCAGGTAAATAAAACGTTTGTACTTCTCAAAGTAATCTTTTTCCTGAACCACGAAAATGTGAAGAATCTTTTAAGCATGCGCAATCTCTGTAACCACTCAGCTCAAATCAGACCTTCCAGCAAATTAGGAGCACTCTTAGCTGGTGATTTTCTAAATGCTGCACTTCCTTACACTTGCATACAAGTCCGGCAAAACACCAAACAAATTTAAGTGACAATAACTAAACCTTAATTTGAACTATGTTGGTACTGTGTGAATTCCTTGCTTCTATTATATTCTATCTTTAGCTAAATCTGTATGGATGCTTAGAGGTTGCAAGTTTCTTCTGTGTGATTTTAATAGTCTCTTTTACCACTTCCATTTACCATAGTATTGCACCTACAGACTAGTTGATGTAAACGTCTATGTGGACATGATCAAACCATCACATGCTTAAGTCTATCAACTGGAGCGTGGACAAGATAATATGGGGATCCAATATCGGGTGAAACAAGAATTGGGTGTGCCTGACTCTGATACCAAGTTAAAGAATTGGACCTTGAGCCAAACTCAATGCCTGGTACCAAGTTAAAGAAATGGACCTTGAGCCTAACTCAACGCCTGAAGCTAACTCAAAGGGTGAGGACTGTCCAAGACCATATAAGGAAATAAAATGCATCCCACCCTTCAATGTGGGATAATTCAACAGAATCTTTTTGTTATTACTTGACATTCTAGTTAGCTCTCAACTAATCTTTTAAAATCCAATGCACTGTCAGTGTCATCTGGTATCCTAATGCACATGCAAAGGATGAATAATTGCTTGCTATATAAGGTTGATCACATGTCTTATCTTAAGCGGAAGCCATTTTAGAGTAATAAGAACAAAACCAAACCGAAGAACAATAATATGGCCTACCGAAATTTACTAACCAGTCACACTAGTTGATATTGCAATTAAGTCTAAATAAATAGCGCTGGGAGATGAAGAAGTGGCATATCAAGATTAAATTCTTAACTCCAAGTTATCAAGTAATGAGGCAACTCGAAAGCTGGAAAGACTAGTTATGTTTCAAATAGGCAGCAGTATGATCTATTATGTCCTTGCCAAATGTTAGCACTATACCTTTGGTCCAAATAACCCAGTTACACATCTGCCAAGCAATTCAAACATGTTGAGGTGGCTCTCAGCACACTTAGGCTACCAGTCAGTTCCCATATTTTCAGGTGATATCTCACTCTAATACTAACAATGAGCGACAAATATGATCCAGGCCAGATGATTAACCTTGCAAAATGAAGATTTGACCATATCGAACTCACAGAACATTCAATTTTAAGTCTAATTAACATGAAAGCAATATTTTATGGGATGAGTATGATTCAAGTAAAATACAGTGCTATGCAAGTCTTTTACTTGGATTAATTCACCATAGATCAAATAATCTCAAAAAATCCTAGATTCTTGTTATGTCTTGCAATTATCTTCAATTTAGCAGTTATATAACAACCCTCTTCCTCTATTTATTTCTTTAATTCTCATCATGACGCTTCCCTCGGTGATAACAAACAGGTTTCAAGTTGAACAAAAATCAAGAGGAGAGATTCTCATTCTGATGCATTGCAGAAAGTCTGGAAACAAATGGTTTTTTTCCCTTCTACTGCTTTGATGAAGTCATAAAACTAATTCATAAATTATTGAACATTGAATATAACCTATATCCAAAAGAAAATCACTAATTCTATTGCAAATTATTAAAACAACCTGAGCCTAATTTAGATATCATACTTTGTTGGGAACAATCAGGAAAGGGTCGAACATTGTGGCCATTAAATAATAAATGGTATATTTTTAGTTTGGAGAAGTTGCCAAACCTACTAGAATCAAAAAATAGAAGTAGAGCAATTATATTTTTATACGTAAAAAGAGATTTTATAGATGAACTTGCACTACAGAAGTAGAGCAATTGTTTTAAGATGAAGCATAAGAATACAAGTGCCAAGCTTCATCATACTAAGTCATGTATACATGAGCTTGTGTAGCATTAAGGATTATAATCACACATTCAATATAAGATAGATAATACCAGGATTTGGTATAAGGTTTATACCGGTATTAGCTTAATACCAACAACCAAACATTGGATTTAATCCCAAATTTTATACTGGGATCATGACCTAATCCCGGTAACCAACCGACCCCTAAGGAGTCGCAACTCAACTAATATATTTTGCACAAGTCAAAATGATTGTCATTGGTCAATAACCTACATTTCTGCCAACCCAGTTTGCAAACGAGTCCCATGCTGAGAGAGAATTTGTTCAATTTCTGAATCCACACACTTAGAAAATCTCCTAATGCCATAATAGAAACCAACACCTGGAAGGAGGAAAGTTCAAAAGATTAAAGTAGTATAATTACCAAAAGAAAAGCAAAATGTTCTCTGTTTTGGTATAAACTTTGATCTTGTGTAGCTTTGAGCTCCACATAAGCATTTTGAACAGTGTGTATCATTACAAGAATGGTAATATGCAGCTTAAGAGAGATAGCAAGTCTCCTAAATAGCAATGACTCTGAATAGCACGTAAAGGAACATGTAATAGTCCCACCTGGTCTCAAGTACCTGTTTTGGGGCCGCGGCTAATCCGGAATCACGCCACATAAAGGCCCGTTAAGGTGGAAGTGCTCCCTACATATTCAGGGTCATTGCTATTTAGGAGACTTATAAATCTCTCTTCAACTAGCAACTTAAATTTGTCATAAGCATACAATTTACAGCATAATTTTATCAACATCCTTTATTCAAAATGCAAGATCCCATGAGGGCAGTGAGGCAACACAGAACTTTAAATGATATCCTTAATTTAGGCACTTGAAGTTAAGGGGTCATTTTCTTAAATGGTCACTCAAGTTGGTAAAATTACCTAGTAAAGTAACTTAACTTTTATTGTCCCAATAAAAAAAAATTCAAGTTAACTACTATTCTTACAAATAACAATGGTCTAGATATGATATCATACACTCACGCTATCAACTTGTTCAATTCAAAATCTTAGTTCAAACTAACCACAATGACTACAAAGAAAGAAAAAATAAGCTTCATCACAACAAAATAAAAAATTTGACAGAAGCCAAATAAAACAGCCAGTGATCTATTTAGTTGATTTCTAAGTACGAGCTCACTAATTAGTATCAGAAAAAATTAAGTAGTAAAATTATGTTGCCAGAATAAACCCAATTCCAGAAACTTGATATCCTATACTTCCTCCATGCCAAATGAAAGAATTTCCCCATGAGGGGCACCATCAAATTATCACTGTAAATTTGGACATGAATTCTTTAAGAAACTTTAAATATACAAAATTTACATAAAAATTACTTCAAATTACTAATCTTTTAGCTTTTACACTGCATGGAGAGAATGAGCACATAGATAGTTGAAAAAGAGCAGAAACAGGAATAAAGGTCAGAAGCAAATAGAGGGTTGACTAAAGTGGCTTTTCTGTCACTGTTATTTTGTAAGAGATAATGGTAAGCTGAGTGATTTTATTGAACAATAAAAAGATATGTGACTTGTAATTTCATCCACTTGAGAGTTGAGTGACCACTTAAGGAATTAAATGGATACTCAAGTTTTTTAAATATTTACTTTTAACAACAAATATGTAAAAGCAAACTTCTGAGCACTTGAACATGAGTCACTAAAAGGCATCTTAAAATACATTACTATCTACCAAGTCCACTAATACATGGACCAAAACCAGATAGTGTATCAAGGGTGACTGGCATATATGCAGAAAAGATAAAAACATGAAAAACAAGCCCAGTCAATTTCTGAAAAAATTATAATGAAATTGCAAATTGAGCTTACCTGCTGTCAGGTTCATACGAACTAGGTTATTCAGCCTTCTGGTTACTGCAAAGAAACAAATTGAGAGAACTGTGTTAGGTGTTTGGTCAAAAATATAAAAGCAAATAATAGAAGAGGAGAAAACAAATAATTTGTGCAAGCAGAATAGATATAATACAGAGCAACACCTAGACAAATGAGTGATTAAGGCCGGTTTTCTGACTTATCTAATAACCCTATTTCTTCTAGCTGCTGGAGCACCTCTTCTAACCATTTCCCCTTTTTTTTTTTGACCATTTACCTTTTATTCTGGAACAATCTTTTTAGGGTGGTATTTTACATATTTCTGCCAAATCTTCCTATTATTGCTAATACCATTTCAATGGTTTTCATCCTTTCAAGCGAGAGAAGTTCGATACTTTCGAATCCGATGCATTAATTCTTCTTTCTACTCATATGTACTCTATGATCTCAGCTTCTAATAAAAAATTTCAAGAAGTGTGACTGACATGTAGAAGAGGGACCTTTTTCTTCAAAGTTAAATTCACATAAAAGCATCAATGAAACATCCCCAACCCCCCACCCCCCCCCTTCTTCCCCACACCC